GGCATCGCCCAATGATATTCCTGCAGGGGCCTTCTTCAGGAAGCTTCGTTGTGAGAAACGAAGGGGAGAGGGAGATACGACTGATTTCGAAAATCGGCTTTCGTCCGCTCGCACGAATGTCGTCTCAGTAGCTTTCAAACGCGATCGTGAGGCGGAACGATTCGGTCGTTGTCTCTTTTCTTTCTCGTATCCGTTCGATTCAAGTCCGTGCATGTGTATAACGTAAATGTTTTTACCAGTGTCAACCAGAATTTAACGAGACCATAACAAAATTCATTATGAGTAAAAAATGGCGGCAGGTAAGGCATAATTTCGATACGAATACTCTGTCGTAGAAATTCCCAAAGTATGGTAGGTCGTGGTAAATATTCTAAACATAAACGATTCTTTTAAAAATATCTATCAGAAACGAGTGGCTCGCGAAATATTAACATCTTTCGAATTTCGATTTTGAATTTTTAGAATTTTGAAATTTTAGAAATTTTCTACTTTGAAACTTTCGAAAAGTTGGCCACACTGGAATTTTCAAACTTTGGAAAATAATTTATTAGCACGAAAGGTAGGTTTCGGTCTAATAGATTTGGAAATTCCTGCGTTATACATTTTTCTACCAAGTAGTAGATCGGCAATGTTCGATCGGAAAATGCGAAACGCGATCAAATATTACGATTTCTTCGACAAATTCTAACGCTGATATTTTCTACTTGAACGTAGTTAGCGTTACCCGAATACGTTACAAGTTACCGATCATTGATGTACCATTCCTTCGAGTGTTTATTGCCTATTTTACCCATTTCGAACCTTTAAATAGGATTCTAATGAATATTCGTTTTCATATATATCTGAGATACGATATACTTGTACGATGTAAAATATATTCTAATCGAGTTTTGCTTGATTTTTCTCGACGAGAATCGAAATAAGCGAATTAAAATCGAACAAGTAATCGGTCATACCGTCCCGGCATTTGAATTGTTGATCTTGGTTTAACGTGTTAAAGGTGACCGAAGCGTTGTCGTTCGTTTTTTTTTAGGTGGACAGGTTCGTTTTCTTTTAAATTCGAAACGAAAGCGAACATTGTAATCGCGAAAGCAGTCGCGTCTCATGATATTCCTGCAGGGGCCTTCTTCAGGAAGCTTCGTTGTGAGAAACGAAGGGGAGAGGGAGATACGACTGATTTCGAAAATCGGCTTTCGTCCGCTCGCACGAATGTCGTCTCAGTAGCTTTCAAACGCGATCGTGAGGCGGAACGATTCGGTCGTTGTCTCTTTTCTTTCTCGTATCCGTTCGATTCAAGTCCGTGCATGTGTATAACGTAAATGTTTTTACCAGTGTCAACCAGAATTTAACGAGACCATAACAAAATTCATTATGAGTAAAAAATGGCGGCAGGTAAGGCATAATTTCGATACGAATACTCTGTCGTAGAAATTCCCAAAGTATGGTAGGTCGTGGTAAATATTCTAAACATAAACGATTCTTTTAAAAATATCTATCAGAAACGAGTGGCTCGCGAAATATTAACATCTTTCGAATTTCGATTTTGAATTTTTAGAATTTTGAAATTTTAGAAATTTTCTACTTTGAAACTTTCGAAAAGTTGGCCACACTGGAATTTTCAAACTTTGGAAAATAATTTATTAGCACGAAAGGTAGGTTTCGGTCTAATAGATTTGGAAATTCCTGCGTTATACATTTTTCTACCAAGTAGTAGATCGGCAATGTTCGATCGGAAAATGCGAAACGCGATCAAATATTACGATTTCTTCGACAAATTCTAACGCTGATATTTTCTACTTGAACGTAGTTAGCGTTACCCGAATACGTTACAAGTTACCGATCATTGATGTACCATTCCTTCGAGTGTTTATTGCCTATTTTACCCATTTCGAACCTTTAAATAGGATTCTAATGAATATTCGTTTTCATATATATCTGAGATACGATATACTTGTACGATGTAAAATATATTCTAATCGAGTTTTGCTTGATTTTTCTCGACGAGAATCGAAATAAGCGAATTAAAATCGAACAAGTAATCGGTCATACCGTCCCGGCATTTGAATTGTTGATCTTGGTTTAACGTGTTAAAGGTGACCGAAGCGTTGTCGTTCGTTTTTTTTTAGGTGGACAGGTTCGTTTTCTTTTAAATTCGAAACGAAAGCGAACATTGTAATCGCGAAAGCAGTCGCGTCTCAAGATTTCCACTATCGTAAACGATATTACCAATGAATAGCATCTGTTTGTTGATATTTACATGTACTAATAGATGGAAGTTAAGAAGAAATTTAACATTAGCATTTGTACAATAGGACATAATGTACGTAATAGATCATTTATCGAGTACAAAGTATTTTAAGTGTACAGGTAGAACGAGAAGCAGGATTGTTAAGAAAATATGCGTCCTTTCAACGAGGAAGTTAGCATAATATTAGTAGCGGTGATCATTGGCGTAACTAGAATTTTTGTTCAAGGTAATCTAAGTGCCCTAGCTTTACTGTAACAGTATCGACGTGTCGTACACTGCTCGTAAACGAACGACTATTGGAAGCGATGAAATTTACAAATTTCATCATTCGGGAATTAGAAAATTTCAGAATTCAATTATTTAAAAACTTGGAAATTTGCTACTTTGGGAATTTAAAATATCTTATGCTACGTGGTCTAAATACGGTTGGGAAATTTAGTAGCCTGCCTTGGTTCCTGCCTAATTATGTCAATGACCGCCGCGATTAAATAATGCTAGTCGATATTCGTAATTTGTTAACTTGATATTCGTAATTCAAACTCATTGTCTTTGCATTCGAAGGAAATAAGAAATGAATGGAACATGGATCTGAAACTATGTTAAAGACTCGCATTAGGCCAAGGTTCTATCGGTAAATCTGTACTTTCTTGCAAATTGTACGTGCTGTGGTAGCCATACGCGACATTGTAGCATGGTTATATGATTACCATGTAAAATCAAAGAACCTCACTTTTGTTTGTCGCTTGTAAATGCCCTAAGAAATATCGTCGTAAATTCGCCGTGACAAATAGTATAATCAGTTTATTTCGCGTTCCTTCGAAAGCCTGATTGTCATACACGAATACCATTGTACAGACAGCTGGAAACGTTTGTATAAACAAATGTTGATTTACTCGACGTACATTTACTCTATGTACAGTATTCAAGAACAGATGGACACATGTTAGAATAATTACTGGCGATAAGGGATACAGGAGTGTATTTTTTTATTTTTGGCTGTGTTCAACAATAAATTACATAAAAATCGATACTTCGAAACGCAATTCAGATTCTTAAAAAAGAAATACGATGCGACGAATAAAAATAGAGAACGACTACAGCTGGAAAACGAGAAAGGAACGTTCAAACATTGAATATTAAATGTTTTCCAATCGTTCATTTTCACCGCGATCTTTTAAACACATGCAACATTTTTTCTCTATTTTTAATTAAATCAACACATATTTAATTCGCTATCCTACACTATATGTATAAATACTATATGTGTATGGCATGTTTTATATTGTAAAAAAAATTATGCAAACTAGTAAATTATTTGCAACTATGATAACTTCATATCATAAATATTAATTATACAGAAAGAAGAATTAATGATAAAGCAAGCAAATAAAATAAATATATATTTTATTGAATCGATGTATCGAAATTTTCAAAACCTTACGCAAATTTCTTCGAACGATATTGGAAAATAATTTCGTTAAAAGAAATTGTTATATATAGTTGGAGGGAAAAAAATGGATTCGCTCCACGGATCAGTTATGAATCGAAATACCTACCGTGACGTTCGGTGCTATTTTTATATGAAGCTGCTGCCGAGAAAAATAACGATATTCTGTGATCTTCTATCGGAAAAAAATTATTTTTTTCTTTTTTTTAATTACAGAATAGAATATTCCGATTTCCGTGTGAAAGCGTAATAATTATATTATCGAAATTTTTTATTCTGAATTTAAAAAAAAGAAACATTTATACGATACGTATGAAATGTTCGATGCAATATGAAGGAATTTTTACGATTTTTCATGAAAAAGTTGCGTTTCGTATTGTTTCATGCCACGTGCTATTGGATAATACGAACAAATAAATTTGCGCGTGAATTTATATTATTAAGATTGGAATTATTATATGTATAATAATATTATTTGTATATTAAGTATTATTTTATGATGGCATAATTTGTGTGCCTTTTGTTCAGAAATAGAAGGAAGCACTGATTGGAGAAGTGCTTATTCATTGAGTGACTACGGATCGTTGAACTAATCCATTCCACTTGACGATTTTTCTCCGAAAGTTTTGATAAAATTTTCGTATTCGTAGCTATATTTAGGACGTTGCTTACTACGTGACAAGAATTGCGTACGTAAAAGAGGCTTGGCTCGATCGCCCAATCAGCTTCGCCCGCGATCGTCACACCTTTGCCTCGACCAATCAGCTTTGCTTACCATCGACACACCTTTGCTTCAACCAATCGCTATCAAGAGTTTCGAGAAGCGGGAAATTTCGCTGTTTCGTGCATTGCTAACGGATTTATTTCAGAATACAGTGACGTCACATGCCACTCGGAAATTTTATCACATAGCACTGTCGTTGTTATCATCGTTATTAACACCACTACTAATGATCATAATTCTTTTATATGTATACGTAGCGGATGTGCTTTCGAATTAATACTCGCTTATGTTTGAACGTGAATGGATGCATAATTACGTTATTGTGCGTTACGTGTTCACGATGCAACTCTATTTTTTATACCATCTCCGGTGGAATCATTTTCCTGATATTAAATTTCACTATCTGATCGAATCAGTCAGATATTAACGTAAGGTTAATCGAGTTGAAGTTTTTAAAGGAATTTTTATAATTTGTTAGTAAAATTAATCTTAAACGAAAACACCGAATGAAAGTTATCGGTATGCATGTATATTCATATGTCTATTTATAATGTTATATTTATTTATGTGCGTTTTCCTAAAAGCAGTTAGTACGTTTTTATTAAAGTTGCTAATGTTAACGTTTGTAATTACTTTTTTTCGTATTAGGGTCGATGCATAGAGAGGAAACTAGTAAAAACGTATACGTATAACGCGACGAATTTTCTTTATTCCGAGATTATGTTTCTATCCGTCTTTAACTTTAAAATGTTCATGGTCAAGGATAAAAGTGGGTACGAAATGACGTTATGTTTCTTTATTTTGAATTTTCGACGGTTCATGCTAAACTGTTGGCAGTATTCCGAACGATACTTAACTGGTTAAAGACCGATTAAAAGGAAACACAGTGAAAGTGTAACTTGGTGATACTTATTTTTCTCGGAAATCTTGTATTACGTAAAAAAAATTCACGTATGTATACCGAATGCAATTTTATGTATAATCACGAACATGTTATACGTTAATATTTCGTATAGATTTATATTTATAGATATTTAGATCCGAATAAAAGTAAAAGTGAAAGTTACGGGTGTTATAAAGACGCGAATCTTTACGTTACACGTTACCTCGTGTATTACATTTATTAAGAAATAGATAATAATCTGTGAAGGTTCCAAAGCATTTATCCATCGATTTGAGAAACACTGGTTGCTAGCTTCCTCGAGACACGTTGAGTGTATGCGCGTGTAAGTTAGTTTAGCGCGTTCGTGTGCATCGTGGTAGGAGCATATAAAAATCCGCAGCGGGGGTACCGACCCACAGAGTGCTCTTTGACACGTGTTTGAAAACAGTGCCGATAGATATTGCATTTTGCATAAACGCTCGACTGCAAACGGTTTACAATCCATTTTCATTGTATTTCTCTTCGAGTTAGTGGATAGATCAGAACTTTTCGATGACTCTAAAAGCAACAAGATTTCCTTATTTCAGGAAAACGGTACGAGTCCAATTATTTTTTTAAATGCTAATTTCATGTTACCTACAAGGTAATTGTAAAAATTCCTTATCTCGCGTTAATCCTTACAATTATAATTAATTTTTCACGAATAATTTTAAGATTAGAATCGATTAAATAATATGTAGATATTTTTGGTAAGAAACAATTATTTGTTATCGCAGGGTCTGAACGGGCGACTAGCGTTTGCTATTTGTGCTGCTGCACTTGGATCATCGTTTCAACATGGGTACAACACTGGTGTCGTCAATGCACCTCAGCAGGTATTTCATAAGATACATTGTCAGCGCTTTCTTAGATCTCTTGACACCGATACACTAGCTTTAACGTTATGATCGCGTAAAATATTCCAGATATTTTATCGCAACCGGTAATACTTAATTTTTGGTACATAAATGATTATATCGCGATCATTAGTGTAACTAATAAGTCTGATGCGCGTGAAAGATGAATTAGCTATTCCCACGTAACGCGAGAAATCTAGAATACTTCATATTAGAAATTATTTAATTCTCAAATGTTTAAATACATTTTAAATCATTTCTAGCCGTTTAGCCTTGCTCTGTACATATAAGTCGGTTTGATATTATTAATAAAATTATTAATAAAATTCGGACTATCGAAAGAGAGAATACAACAGTACGTTTAGTATAATATCGATGAAACAGTCTAGTATAAAATAAAAAAAAATTCAATGTTTTCTGTTAATATTTGGATCCAGGCTATCGATGATATAATTTGCATTATATCGCGTGTCATAAAGTATTTGGAATAAAGTTAATTTGAAAATTATCAACTAGGATTTATATATGCGTTCTGTTTCAATAGCTAATCAATAATAATCGTTACATAACTGTAAAATTATATTGTTATCGATATCGCAAGTATCGTAGTTATAGTGTAGAGAATATACAGGGTGCCGTAGGTTTTTATCGGCAAACTTTATTAGCAAATTCTATTCTAGTCAAACTAAAAAGAAGGCGTTATATTAGTGCATACAGTTTTAAAGGTTTTATTAAAAAACTATAAAAAAAATGTGTACGAAATGAAAGCGGACTGTATTATTCTTGAGTCGACAATTCGAAAGTCGAAAGTTGTGCTATTGATAGAGAAAATTGTAAATTATCATTTCGTATATTTCTCATAATCTTTCAATAAAATATTTAAGAGTTTATTATAGTTTTACCCATAGAACGCGCTAGCAAAGTTTTAGTGGCATCGAAAAACAAAGCATTTTGTATCGTTATTACAGTGTTTTAATAAGACGATTAAAAAACTGGAACAACCTGTATTTGGAATATATGTATGTATAACATGTATGCGCGTAACAATTACGTTAAGTTAAATTTTGAAGAAATTTCATAATAAAGTGCACTAGTAATACAAGCATATTAACCACTTTTCGATCTTCCAATTGCTAATTATTAGTACATATAATTTTTCCGTTTAGCAATCATTATATGTATATTTGTAGACGTAACTGCGTTATTTCTATATGCTAAGTTAATTTTTGCAATCGTGACGCGTTCTTAACACCTGATGCATTTAGATGCAAGGTTTAATTATCATTAATTATCATTTTGCATCGGTGGCGTGTTACAGCTCATCGAGGATTGGATCAGTAACCTGAAGATGAATCGTACCGGTGTACCAACGAAACAGTCGGAAGTGACGATGATATGGTCGATAGCGGTGTCGATATTCTGCGTGGGTGGTATGATCGGCGGTTCTTTGGTGGGCTCGGTAGCCGATCGTTTCGGTAGAAAGGGTGGTTTGCTATTGAACAACATTCTGGTTCTCTTGACGGTCATCTTCGAGGGTTGCGCGAAGACGGCGAAAAGCTACGAGATGATAATCATTGGAAGATTTATAATCGGTATTAACTCTGGGTTGAACGCTGGTCTGGCACCCATGTATCTAGCTGAAATATCACCTATTCATCTACGAGGAGCCGTCGGCACAGTCTATCAATTAGTTATCACTATGTCTATTCTGGTATCACAGATTCTCGGACTGGAACAAGTACTGGGTACGGCCGATCAATGGCCGCTTCTTTTATGTTTGACGATCGTTCCTGCGATCTTTCAAATAATTACCCTTCCCCTATGCCCCGAGAGTCCAAAGTATTTACTGCTCAGCAAAGGAAAGGACATGGAGGCGCAAAGAGGTATGTACATGGATCGTTTGCTCGATACATTCTATTCGATGTTAAACGAGATCATGAATAGAAATAGATAAGAAATATTGTTAAACATTTGCATAGAACTTGAAGCGATTTATTAGATTTATTAGGAAAGAAATGATTTATCGTTACGTTTGAAAATATGAATTATTTTCCAAGATCGTGTGTAGTACTTTCGAAATTTCATGCGTATCGTGCTTCGGCTCCGTAAATGCATCATTATCCTATACCGTAAATGCTTTATCTGTTCTAGACAGTTTTATCTGTTACCAGTCAACTCTTGTACAATACGTTTTCGCTTTCATAGTTTTCGCAGATTAAAGTCTAACGGAGGGAAAATTTATCGATAACGGGACGATTGTTTGTTCCAGCTTTGTCTTGGCTCCGTGGTACGATCGAAGTTCACGATGAAATGGAGGAAATGAGAACAGAATACGAATCAGTGAAACTTGTACCAAAGGTCACGCTAAAAGAATTGTTTGTGAATTCTGCTCTTAGAATTCCATTGATGATCGCAATTATGATTATGTTCGCGCAACAATTGTCAGGTATAAATGCCGTGATGTTCTTCTCGACGAAAATTTTCATGATGGCACAATTGGATAAGAACGCGGCCCAAAATGCAACGATGGGAGTCGGGGCGATGAACGTTCTCATGACTTTTATTTCTTTGATACTCGTTGAAAGAGCTGGACGAAAAACGTTGCTTCTTATTGGATTCGGTGGAATGTTCATCGACACTGCTTTACTCGCGGTCTGTCTTGTTTTTGCGGTAAGTTCACGACTACGCGATTATAAAGTAATAATTAGCACTTTCACTGGCAAAGTAAAATTTATCGAAAAGCCCTGCGCACACGGTAATCGAACTCTAAGGAAACATGAAAGAATTTTCATTCTGATATTTCTGTTTGTTTGCAGGATACGTCTAGCACAGCTGCGTACTTCTCTATTGTCTTAGTCATCATGTTCGTGGTCCTGTTCGCGACTGGACCAGGAAGTATTCCTTGGTTCCTGGTGTCTGAATTGTTTAATCAATCCGCAAGACCTGCAGCAACATCCGTTGCTATCGCGATCAATTGGACGGCGAATTTCATCGTCAGTATCGGTTTCCTGCCGCTACAAGAAGCGCTAGGTGCTTACGTATTCATCTTATTTGCCGTGATACAAGCATTCTTCGTTTTCTTCATCTACAAAAAGGTGCCAGAAACGAAGAACAAGACGATGGAGGAAATTAGTAGCATGTTCCGACAAATATCGTACCAGTAAGAACACGTATATTATTACGGCGCTTAAGAAATTTATCGCAGGGAAAGAAAAAGAAACAACTGTGTTTTTAAAGAAACGTTTTCGAAGACGAATTAATCGAACGTAAATGTGAATTTCTTTGAAAAATTCGTGACTTGACTATGATAAGATGCTGAAAGCGAATCCGTTCTGAATACATTATTGTTACAATGTTTAAAAAATTATTAAAAATATTCCATTTTTAGATGGAACAGGAAATCAAATAATTTTCTATTTTAACGCAATGACGAATTAAATAAACACATAAGCTTTTTATTCGTAGTTTACGCGCACGTTACACGCTGTCAAGTTGCGCATATTTTTTGAGGAAGTTTCATTTTTAATTGAACGTAAACTTAGTTCCTACTACTACCGGCACAGTAAACTTATCGCGACAAACGAAAAGCATAATCAAATTGTACGAATAGTACACCCAATTTTACGAATTTTACGAATTTTACGAATTTTACGAATTTTACGAATTCTATTTTTTTCATTTTAACCTAACAAATTTTCAAATTGCTTTTTAATTCTTTTTTTTCGTTTTACGAACATTGAAGTTTCAGCGAGAATCGTAATATTATCGCGTACTCGAGATACTTTAATTATGTGTAGAAAAGCAAACTGGGCTCAATTTTAAAGGGACAAATAGTTTCTTCGTAAAATTATACATTGTTGAAGATTAGAGGAAAGAAAGATTATGCGAAATTATTAATAGGAAGAGAGACTAAAGATAACAAAATATTATAACTTACAGTTCCTTAAACATAATCGAGGGAATTAATTAAAAATCGTTTGTTGTTACATTTACTATGACATCATTGTTTAAAAAGGAGTTAAGAAACGATATTATTTAATTGCGATTATAGTAAACGCTATTACTCTAGTCATAAGAATACAATATGTTTGCATTGAATCGAGATACGAAACTTCCAAGTGACATACTTTCTCTCAACGGATTGTTATGTCTTTTACATTATTACGGAAAATGTTTCTTCTGATAGAATTTCAATTTTATCGTAAATTGCGTTTTTTTTTTCTTAATTTTCTTTCTTTAAATTCAGACTATTTAAAACGCTTGAAATAGCGTATTACTGCTGGAAGTTATAAGATTCGTTCAAGGATAAATTTTGCTATTGTAAAAATCTTTTTCTTCTTTTTTTAATAGACGTATTGTAAAGATTATGTTCGTGCAAATGTTCAAGTTTATACTAAAGGCTAACGAAATTCATTGTACGTGTTTACATATAGAATGTGAAAATTTTATTCAAACGAGGATGAAGTAAAGGAGATACTGTAATAATTGTACATAGAAATACGCAACATTGGATAGCATTACATATAGCGTAGAGGAGAACTATATTTATATATTGCATGTAATTAGTTAATTTTTAAATACCTTGTACCATTGTTGTTATATTTATTAGATATTTAATGAACATAATGTAAACGATAACAAAGAATTAACATGTAGGTTAGAAAAACATAGACAACGTTCCGCCGTGAATTATGGATTGACTGTACATGTTTTTATTTATCGCGTACATCTTTGGATCCGAATAATACTCAAATATAGCTATATTCTTGATACTTTAAACTTTAAACGGACGTGTGTTTCTACGGTGTGCCAGTAAAAGTGACAAAAAAAGACATGATTTCCTTAATTGATTTTTTTTTTAATCTCAGACGCTCAACGACGTAAAAAATTTATAAGTGGAACTGAAAAAGAAAAGATTGTAAGATATAAGCCTAAATTATGTATATAATATTAAATTTATATGTAATTCCAAAATAATAACTGAAATTAACATAATAGTTCGACTTATAAAGCAGTTTTTACGCGATAAAATGGATTCAAAGAATTTCCGGTTTTGATCAAGTTTTCCTTAGAAGTATATATCTGTTACGTGAACGACTGGATTTCATAGTATATTATTTTAAGAACGGAAACGATCATAACAGTAAATAGAAAATATAGACAGATATAGAGAAAAGGGGCGATAATTTATATTATAGATTGTCTCGTGATTACAAAGTAAAGAATCATTTTGAGCAAACATTGTTTCGAACAATTCAAACGACAATAAGTTTCTGCTATTAATTACTACAAGTGCAAAGTCCGCTATAATACGCGGTTTTCAACAAATCTGTATCGTGATCTTAAATGTTGCTTAAATGTTCAAAGTAACTGAAATTTAAACGTAAAAGGTGTCGCTCCTTTTTCTCTTAATCGATGGATACGAATTTTTTTTCAGTAAACTGTCCGCGTACGTTTCAAAAGTTCAAAGATCTAAATTTATCGTGTGTGTACAAATTTTTTTAGTACAATGCAATGCGTTCGTAATTAAGCCTGAAATTTTTGTTCATCGATTATTGTCGTTGTAAGCTCTTTGCGGTACAATTTATAGCATTTAGTGTTAGCTTCTTCTTTTATACGAAAGATCCATATTGATTCTTTTGCTTCGCCAAAGAATTGATTATACATATCTATAAGACGTAGCGAAATAATTTTTAAAATTCGCGCGTCAACCGTCATCGTGCGCTATTAATTTTATTATTTGCACGTTAGAGAGTCATCATTCACGATCATTGCGATTATTTAAATTATTTTTGCAGTACATTGGTCTCACAGTTCATCACAAAACATGCATTACAAACTGTTACTTATGGTGCCAATGTACATATGTTTAAATCGATATAATCAAAATTCTGTATAATATTATCGATTATGAGAATTACGATCAATGTCAATCATTAAATCATGTATCATCAAATAAATAAAGATTTTCATCAGTTTCGAAATGGATTATATTTCAATTGTACATTTTTTAACAATCGTCGATATAAAATTATTTTCAGCTGTAAAGTAAATTGTCACATTGCCTGTCATCATTAGACAGTTCCTTGTTTTTTCACAGTACAGACACGTAACATTACGTACCTGGCACATGAATCGTTTCGATACTGCGTACGTATATACGTGATGCAAAAATAAATATTTAAAAATAAATAGTCTGCAACGATACGTCGTCATATTATCGAAAATTTTCTAAAATTATCTCTTAAAGATTAATAAAATTTAAATGGTAAATACTTGAATGAAAAATTTTTTGTATGAAGTGTACCTTTTAAAACGAAAATGTAACTTTATTAATAAGGAATTTGAATGAAAGGTATATAAGAAATCGAGAATTTTAACGTAGAAACACGAGAAACCACATAATACTCGATACTCTTTTTTTCAAATATAGTTACAGCACTGCGCAAAAAAAAAAAAAAAAAAAACGAATCCATTATGGATTGCGGAATGTGTGCTTTCTGAAAAATCACATTATTTTCACATAAATCAAATTTTTATTGAAAAAAGAAAAAAAAAAAAAAAAAAAAAAAAAACGAAAGCATTAATCTAGTGCGCATGCGTATGTTTTTGTTATGCTAAGCATCGTATCGAGTACACATTGCAAATCGCGAATAAAGAGCGAGAAAGAACGTTCAACCGTTCAACGCTCGCATTCATTGACATTCGTCGATGCGAAGGGGTCTGATCGATGGAAAAAAGCAAACGAAACGACGAGGTTCACGGCGGTTGCCGCGAGATGTCGGTAGTTTAGGATGCTACGAAGAGGCAGTGAAACGCCGCGCGCGGCTCGCATCGTCCGTCATAGTAAACACAAGTACGAACTCGGACGAAAGGTACCTCATGCGCTGCTACAAAAGCAGATACGCGTTTTGACGGGTGTTTGAACGTAAACGGATAGAAAAACGACGCGTCTCGAATCGAAGCGTTGGCAAAGTTTATTGTGCAAGAGATCAGATGAGGATTATGATACGTGACGAGGATAAAGAGCGGCGGTGAGAGCATCGTCGTTGGTGAAGGTATTGTCAAGACGCTTAATGTGCGCGGTGCGGGCGCGTGGTACGCTCGAGGCGGCCACAAATGAAGAAGTGGGAAGCCAGGACGAGGGGGGTAGAGAGGGAAGATGTCGAGTGGCTCGGCCTCGAAACTCGTGAACGGTGAAAACAAGAAGGAGAAGGTTCACGGGTACGGGTACGGGTACGGTTACGGGTACGGGTACGGGTACGAATACGAGTACGAGTACGAGAACAGGAAAGAAACCGAGAGCGGCGCTGCTGGCAGCACTGCCTCTTCCATAGTTCTCGCTGGTGGTACTAGTAACGCTACTACTATCATTACTGTTGCTGGTACTGGTACTACTGTTCCTAGTATTACTGGTAACGGCGGTAGTGGTAGTGGTAGTGGTTGTGGTAACGGTGGTAGTGTTCGTTTCACCGATAGTGGTAACGGTGACAGTGATAGTAATAGCGGTGTTTGCGTTACCGGCTTGACCGTCGGGGGCGTCGTCGGCGTGGAGTTTCGCGACGTTAATTCCGATCTGAAAGTACCAGAGAATTTCGAAGAGGTAGACAGTCAGAGGGATGTAAACGAGAGGACGGAATTCGGTGAAACCGAGTTTCAGGACCCGTACACGGGAACGTGTATCGAGACGCCAGTCGTCGATCTCGCTACTACTACTACCACCACCACCGCCACAACCACCACCACCATCACCATCATCGAACACAACGATCGAACGAATACGACCCACGGTGTTTCTGCTCCTTGTTACGAAGAAGATCAGGAAGAGGATAACGAGGAGGACGACGACAACATGGTCGCGGCGATGAACGAACACTTGTCTACCACGTCGGCGACCAGCGGCATTCGAAGTAGCACTGTTTCGACAACCAGTACCACTGGTAATTCCGTCGTCAACCAAAATAACAGTTGCTCTCGTAATGAATTTCAAAACGTTGAGGAGGATAGTAAACCGGCCGCTGGAATACTCAGTTTTCCCTGTGATTTCGATCACATGTATGCTAGCATGACAGACGGCGGAGCTCCGGCAGCAGCCACTGCCACTTCTGCTCTGGGTGTCAGTCCTCTTCGAGGTAATGAACCGCGTCAAAACGATCTTACCGAGGTTAAACACCTCAAGGAACTTTTGCTTCTTCATTTGGATTTAATTCAACAACAATCCGAACAAATTGTCACCAAGGATAAACTCTTAGCTGCTCTACGACAGGAAAACGAAACGGTACTTTTCTTTGCTATCCACTATTTTACGTTACGTTTGTTATTTCTGATAATGCTCTTTTCCTTCTCTTTGTTAATCATTTTGTTTTGTTTCGTTTTATTTAGACGTAAGATTCGTTCGATGAAATACATTACAAAATACCCGCGTTTATGCCCGTGTATCTCTGTCCTACCCTCTCTTTTCGCTCCTTTTTCCCGGTTCTTGTTCTTCTTGTTGTCATTGGTCAGTCGATCGCGAAGGTCACGTTTAATATCACCACGAGATGGCGCTGTTTTGTATGGAATCGTAGTCTTCGAAACAATAAGCACGTTACATGTTTTGCTCGATTCTCGCGCGCAATCTGCCTTTGCGATGACGGTACCTTCGGTATGGACAATGGAAGAATACTTGAAAAATCAAATTCGTTAAAGAAATCGACGAATTTTTATGCTGTTATTATACACAATTTCATTGCCATCGTTAACATCTTTTGTTAGTTATGTTACGTATGACAAATCGTGGAAGTGATAATGCCTGGAATTCGGAAACAAACCAAAACTCGACTGCCGTATCGTTTGTTGACAGTAAATAAAATTATTTCATAAACTTTTATATGACTCGCATATTTCTTTCAAATTTTTCTACAAATTTGCCTGAATTTATAATTTTATCGTTACCACGGTGCATTGTAGTTTGATTTCAAAGCATTGTTCACTTATAAATACTGAACTGTAATTGTAGATTCATTAGTTGTTATGTTCAAAAATAAAATTGAATTTTATGATTTTGTCAAATCAGAATGATTTGAGTTGTAATAAGATTAATGTGAAATTTGTGTATATAGAATTTTGTAAATTATCTTCTACGATACTTTTTTAATATGCGATTGTATTTTATGTTGTAGCTTAAGTTGCGTTTGGAGCGTATGGATAGACGTGTAAATTTACAAAAGTTACGATCAGAGAACAGCGAAAACTCCATTACACCAGAACATATAGGAGCATGTTCTCCTCCAACTGTTAATTCTGTGAATGTGCCATCGACTAGTGAACTTCACAGGAATAATCAGTCTGAAAATAATAATTCCCAATACAATGAAAGTTTTAAAATACGTTTAAATACTAGCGGCGGAATTACTACGGTTAAACAAGAACCAAACGAGAATCAAAGTAAGCACGAGACTAAAATAGAAACTGGCAATGATGCGAGGTTAGATTGGGAAGACAAAAAGAAAAGAAGAACAGATCCGATACCATTGTCCACTGGAAGTAAAAGAAAAAGAGGTGTTTCGTGTTCGTCTACGATTAGTAATGATACATCGTCAACGGTACACGATAAGACGTTAACTCAGGAGAGCGGTAGGAAAAGTGATAGAAAAGGAAAGAGTATAACAAAAAAGGATTCTTTTCTTACAACAGAGGAACATTATTACACGGCTGTTGGTGATCCGAATTATACCTTAAGTTTAAAAGAACCTAATCCTGTGGAAAGTGATACTTCGTTAGAAGTTCCAAATTGGAGGGTAAAGATATATACAAGTTGTTATACAATGGAAGGAACTGAAAATTTGGACGACGAAATTTTTAACAAAAGACATTTAAAATTAGAAAATGACGAAAGAAGGAGAAAAAGATGGGATGTACAAAGGATACGGTTTGTATTATATTTTTTACTCTACTAACTATATATATTTAACAAATATTACTGAAAATTATATAATCCACGAAGATGTTCTGTTTTATGTTATGTTTTGTATGTAATTAAATGTAGTAATGAAATTTCACTATGTACTGAATTTTGTTTCTTAGAGAACAGAGGCACATCGAAAAGTTGAAACAAAGACAGGAACGGCAGAATCATCAAGCTACATGTTATAATACAAATCATACAGGACCTTGTCCATCAACGGTCGAGGAAGAGTCTATATCATCCTTGTGGCCTGATGTAGAACAGATACAAAGTCTTCAAGTGGATCCACAATTACCTGTTACTGCATTTGGTGCTCCTATTCCTAGTTTTACTCCAAGGTAATTAGTATAAATACGTTAACAGTTTTAAATGGCACCTATATTAATTCGTGTTGATCACTTTATTCTTATAATTGCAGTGAATTTTCTTTACCATGGTTAAATATGTCACGATCGAGTTGCCGGCGTCCAAAGCGATCAACAGGTAGAAGAAAACCTACTAGGAGATAAGCTTTTAGAGCAGTGGACAGGACTATTTTTGTCTTAATAATTTTTAATCTTTATCATAGACTTTCTCCCTTATACATACTTCATTTTCATTTTCTAATATTATATTCTTTTATTTACGTGAGATAGGGGCACCAAAGATAATTTTATTACCTTTTTTTTAACGCAGTTCAGGAAAGGTAACTATGTTTGATAGGAGTACCTTATACCCTTTTTATTTCATATATATTTGTTGCTACTCGAACTTCACTTCACTCAATATTAGGAAATATTCATCTTGTAATTTGTTGAAATCAATAGGAACTGGTTTTATTTGTACAACTACAATAATATATTGCCGCGATTTGATAAAACCAATCATTTATTTAATTTTAATTAATATTTATTAATTATAGATGTAAAAATCCAATTGGAAATTGTACAAATTAAAATAATCGATTTAAACTTTGAGATTAAATATATTTTTTGCAACTAATTGGATAAAATATAAATTTAATTGAACATATAACAGATGCATTACAGAATATATGTTCAAGAAAATTTTTTGCAAAAGTAATGTGGTGTACAATTACATCGTACGATCTATTTTAAAATCGTAGCCCCTTTTCTTTGGTCTTTAATTAATAGAACAGGAAATTATTTATATCTGTGAAATGATCCCATCACGTTATTTCCAAAAAGTACCATTGGTACAAATTGGTATTTATTGTATTACATACTTATTGTTAAAAACTAGAATACTCTCGAGACGAATAGTTTATAGACAGATCTTACAAGTGAGAAATATAAAACCGTATTAGATTAAATTCTATTAATTTTACTTAATTCTGTTTATTCTCAGATAACAGAAATGGAGTTAATATGTTAGAAATTTATAAAAAAATGTCCTTTTTCCAGACATTGCATATTGAAGTATATTTGATCTGCTACGGTTTTTAATTGTCCGTTATGTTCGCATTACAATTATTTTTACATGTAATGCATGCATCGAGTAAAATATCTCAGATATACTGCACTCTTTGTGGACCATTGTAGTTTAATAAACATGAAGTATGTAATTATCTATAAAAAGTTTAAAAACATTTATAGGTATAACCATTGTCTTCCTAAAACATTAACGATTCATCAAAATATTCGATTCGTACCCGTGTTTTAAAATTCTCGATTACCGCGTAAAGATCGTACAATAATTTAGTGCGATTCAATGAGTGAAAATAGAAATTTATTTCACAAAGTATCATCCATCGCTATTAAATGAAATACACGATAATATCGTACGTTACACATATTCAAAAATATAAACGACATCTAACTTTATATCTTTTCATTTAAATTTACAGCACAGTTATGTTTAAAATTGAACTTTAATAATTCGTTGTGCAAGAAAGTTAATTAGATTACTGGTTTGAATAAATTACATATTAACATAACAGATACTATATACGTATTCGTGTTGACCGTGCTGATATTTACATAATAATATTAAAGATTATTTACATAACTTTATAGTTTTATATTACACTTACAGAAGGAAAGGGGTTACGACGTTCAACTGAAAAAAAGGAAAACAAAACAAATATTGCTAATGGTTTTTACTCACTTTTAACGTTAATTATTAAACGGTTATTTAGGAAAGTACTGTTCAATTTCTCTGCTCATTTATCTTTTCGATAATGTAAAACATTTTGTAATTTTTTTTTTTCTACAAAAATCATTTCGCCTTTTCTCTTTCACCTTTTATCAACTTTTTTGTAAGTTATATCGTTGCATTTAATTGCAATTCTTAAAACAGGAAATCAAATGTTTCGATGCAAAACACTAATTTTTGATATTCATGTACATAATTAATTCTATCGTTTTGTTTTGTAATATGCGACAAATGACGAGGTACTCGATTCAACCGTCCATGAGGGGTGTCAGAATTTCATGAACTGAAATACTTGACGATGAAACACGGTGAATATAGTAATTATAATTTGTAAATAAAGAAACATCTTTCCACGTAAATGTAAGTTTTTGTTTACTATTTTATTTATAATAGTGCATATTCCCGACGAATATGTCAAATAACCATATTTTGTTTACATTAAAATGAATAAAATGTGCGAGGTGTATTAGATAAATATTTTAAGAAGCAGCATGGAACTGTTTGCGTTATACTCGTTAATTCGACTTTATTTATTTGGAATTTTTTTTATGTGCACCAAAGATACAAAAATAATATAATTTCGTTTTATTATTATTATTATTATTATTATTATTATTACTACTATTATTATTATTATTATTATTTTAATTTAATAATGGGAAATATACGTGTATGTTATTATACAAGAAGATAAAATTGTTTAGTTTCCAAACACTTCTCTGAGGCTTTTACAAATATTGTTTGGAAATTTTCCATGATATTTAATGTTTTTAATATAATTATCCGGATATAACTGTAATGTTTAAGCGTTAACACGTAGCGATGTATTGTTTTTCTTTTCTTTTTGTTAAGTTTTTCTCGATTGTATAAAATGTTTTGGAATTTTGAATTAACGAGATATTGACAGCCTACATTTATGTATATGTGTATGTATAGCGGTATATAAGTACGTTCATCTATCTCTACGTGCGTGCCCGTGTATATATATATTTATACTATATATTACACACTTGCAACTATAAAGAAGCGTGTGTATGATTTTAACTAGATCGATGTATATACAAGGAAGGTGATTCATTGATTTTGATCATGTTCAGCGTCTTTACCGTTTGCAGACAACGGAAAAAGTATAATAAGAAATTGCTTGGTTCGGTCAGTATTCATTTTTTAGGGTCACATGTTTTGATATGTCAACGGTGATGGGCAATTAGAAGTAAGAAAATGTACGACGGTGTGTATTCACGAGCACCGACGATTACGTTAAGCTGTCGTTATATTGCCGCAGACTAGACTGCAGAAGCGAAAAATTCTTGCAATCGGCAATAGAGATAAAATCTTTTCATGCGTAAAACGTAAAGTTTATAAATCTCCAAATTGTAGTATTTGTAGTTTTCAAAGTTTAAATCTTCGTTGATCTTTTAGCGCTGCGATGACGAAAGAGTATGTTACACTATTTGATTGTAAAAGTTTGTATAGAGCAGACTCGCTCAAACGGCAATATACTAACAGTTTACTGTAGTAATCTATAAACGCTGTATTTATATGTGGAAGATGGTTTCGATATTGTTTTCTGTCTTTCCTTTACAAGTCTTGTCATTTAATCTGTCCATCACTGAACTAGATTATTGTCTATATTTCCAAACAGAATCATTCTTTAATGGTTACAATTGAATTAAACCAAATGAGTTGTACCATAGCATTACCGAAAGTAGAACAAATATATGTATATATATATAAAGTTATATTTTATAGACAATACACGCTAATGTTTAATGCAAGAAACAAAAAATGATAAACAATCTGGAAGTCTTAGAACTGTGACTTTAAAAATCTTATCTCGATGACAAAACAATGCCTCCTTGAACCAAACAACTTCTTTTACGTACAATTTTTTATTTTTTTATGATATTGAAGTATCAAAATAAATGAACCATCTATGTGTGAATGTATATGTACGTATGTATGTAATTGGCGAAATATATTTATTACGTTGTGTATAATATATAAATATTATACTACATAATATAGTACATGCGTTATTATTATTATTATTATCATTATTATTATTATTATTAATACAGGTTGTTCCGTAAGTAATGGATCATTTTCAAGGAAATATAAATCTATTTGTAAACGCATGATAGTAACGATATAAGCGTACAATCGAACTCCGTATTTCGATTGTTAACATAGTCGAAGAAAAAGGTTCGTTTTTAAACTAATAAAGCTTAAGTTAAGTTAACAAGAAGGTAAATAAATAAATAAGTAATTTAAGAAGAAACCAAAAGATCCATTAATAACTTATGAAATGATCTGTATCTAATGGAAGTTACGACTTAGAATTAAGCGATATCGAATAAAATAGGATTATTTCGTACAAAGATACGTCTAGACGAAATGTTAAAGATTAAACATCCTATTATAAAAGATCGAAATTTTTCAAATAAGTGTTACGTTACGCGTTCGAATGTATAATTTTGTATGTAAAACGAAAATATTTCATCATGATATAATATTAACTGATAATTTTTTAACGGAATGTAGTGAAACTTCTTTTTTTATCCGAAAATACAGACAGAGAAATTTAGAAACACTTTCTGTGCACAATGGACGGTCCCGATTCATCGTACTCTTGCTTCGAAATCCACATTTGCTGGAAGGTGCTTAAACTGGCTAAGATCGAGCCACCGATCCAAACGGAGTATTTCCTTTCCGGTGGCGCGATTATCTTGATCTTCATCGTGGATGGAGCTAGTGCCGTTATTTCCTTTTGCATCCTATCCGCGATACCCGGATACATTGTTGTACCGCCTGATAAAACTGAATTCGCATACAAATCTTTACGAATATCAACGTCACATTTCATTATCGAATTGTACGTTGTTTCGTGTATCCCGCATGATTCCATGCCTAAGAAACTTGGCTGGAACATTGCTTCTGGACATCGGAAACGTTCGTTTCCAATAGTAATTACCTACAATCGATATATTGCTTCGTAAACTTATTCCGTGTTTTCTTATCTTTTCGAAATTACATAGCGAAGTCTCGTTAAATGACATTTCGACTTTTCACACTTTACAATCAAATTATGCAGACGGAAGAATACTATTAGCGTTTAACGGTCCGCATAAAAAGAAATCATGTAACAAGACTGTGCTATCATTTTTTCTTCGGGTACTCGTATATGACTCGTCCAGTCATTACAACGTATATTTCGATAAAAGAATTATAATTACCTGACCGTCCGGTAATTCGTAGCTCTTTTCCAGAGCGCTCGAACCGGCAGCCGTAGCCATCTCTTGTTGAAAATCTAAAGCGACGTAGCATAGTTTTTCCTTAATATCTCGAACGATTTCCCGTTCGGCGGTCGTAGTAAAGGAATATCCTCTTTCGGTTAAGATCTTCATAAGATAGTCCGTTAAATCGCGACCGGCCAGGTCCATGCGTAAAATTGCATGTGGTAAGGCATATCCTACATCAAATACGGTTTTTTAATTTATAATAAAAAACTTCAAAAATTCAACAATAAATTTGAACGATTGTAGAATTTTTTTGAAAAATAATATAGAATTTTGCAAAGTGGATAAGATGATGGATGCGATTTTCCCATTTTCCAAATAGAACCGTCAATATTTTTTTTTTCCAAAATTAATATTCAATTCAATAATATCATTGAACAAATGTATAGTTTTGTTGTAAAACATTTTTTTTTTAATATTAACGATATAGTGAATATTTGAAATTATGCTATGAAATTGTGTATATAAGTACATATATATTTTTTAAAAATATTTATTGCGAAATGAAATTTTGACGAGTGACAACATATAGTCCAGGAACCGTTTTATCGATTTAAGTGATAGATGCATACGTATCAAATAAAACACGTACCCTCATAAATCGGCACAGTATGCGAAACTCCGTCACCGCTATCTAATACAATGCCTGTAGTGCGTCCCGAAGCGTAAAGCGATAAAACAGCTTGTATAGCGACGTACATCGCTGGAGAATTAAAAGTTTCAAACATTATTTGTGTCATCTTTTCCCTGTTGGCTTTAGGGTTCAGCGGAGCCTCCGTTAAAAGAACAGGATGTTCTTCCGGTGCGATTCTCAATTCGTTATAAAACGTATGATGCCAAATCTTTTCCATATCGTCCCAATTTGTTACAATGCCATGTTCGATTGGATATTTAACCGTTAAAACGCCCCTTTTACTTTGCGCTTCGTCTCCTACATAACTGTCCTTTTGTCCCATGCCGACCATGATTCCCTATGTAATTTTTCCATTTTATCAAAATGAACTAACATGTTATATCAATTTTTCTTTTTTTCTTTTTATCTCTAAAGGATTAGGATCGTTTCGTCGATCTGACCGTCTATGACAATCTAATCCGCTTCCCTTACTAAACTTCTATACATATATACATATACTTGTAACTTTGAATTTTGGATATTTGAAAATTTCAATCGCAATATTTCGGTTAACAAATCTAGCACTTTATAGTTGGATCAAAAAACTTTAGACGTCGATGTTAGAAAATATTACAAAAAATATCAATTGGAAACTCTCTTCTCGCGCGTGTATAATGATTGTAAATTTTGTTAAAAAGAAAAAAAATGTTGAAATTTCACACCGATCAAAAGAATCGTTATTTGTATTTTATAAAATTACTATTTTTCTGCAGCGAAAGACAAAAAAGGTAATTATTTTACCTGATATCTAGGCCTTCCAACGATAGAGGGAAATACCGCACGTGGGGCATCATCTCCAGCAAATCCTGCTTTACACATTCCGGATCCATTATCGACAACTAAGGCTGCTACGTCGTCGTCGCACATTTTAAATCGGTGATATTTATTTCGGTTTTTTTTTCAACGATCAAATTAAATTAGATTTTTTTGTTGAAAATAGCAAATCATTTATTTATCTGACTAGATTTTGCACAGTCTTTATAGTGCATTGACTTCTTTAATATTGTTCCTGCAGAAGAATGGAGCTGCTTTATATTGGCTCCCCCTCCTTCGCTACCTCTCAACATTTGTACCTGTGCTTTAAACTGTTCCTTCTATCTCAATTAATTGGTACATATTCATAATTAATATAATGAAATAACATTATATTTTTCAATTTTTTTAACCGTTATAATTGTAAAGAAACATGTTACTTTATGTTTCTTTGGAAGATTTACTTGAAAAGAATTTGCCAAAATTATTCTAATTATTTGCGATATGTAGCATATTAGTAATATATGTATAATTTAGAAGAAAGGAATTACGTTTGATACTTGACTATAACTGTATTAATTATTATACAAAGGTCACAAAGCTCGTGTAACTGCATCGTTACTGTATCTAACACGGTAATAAGAACAAAATGCTTATGTGAGTTTAATTGGTTTTTAAAATATGCCAATTAAGAGAATGTTATTAAATTACAGATAGAGTTTGTATTAAGTAGAGCATATAAAGCGTTTCTTTGTCTCTGACTGTGGTGAATATCTTTAACTGAGTGTAATCTAGACTATCCATATATATATATATATACATACTTTGTATATATATATATATATACATCTAACTTATATGTATGTATTTCAAAATGAGTATATCCTGCTCATTAAAGAAAGTGAAAAGCAACTTCCTGAAAGTTTACCGAATATAAATTATAGAAGTTACAGAATATAATTTGTTAGAAGATAATACAAAACCTATACAGAGAATAAATATGTATATGTAGACACGTAACTTTATTCACAGTTAGATTTATTAAAACGTTTAATAATATTTAAAAGAAATCAATGATTATTTTGTTTGATAATAATTTAATTTTACACATAATCTAAAATTCTAAGTTATTATAAAAACTTCTTATAGTAAAAAATAATGTACATATATTTTTAGTAATGTAAAAGTTGCTTTAAGATTTTATAAATAGAATTTGGTTTTAACAAATAGAATATTTAACTTTTTTGTTTTTTTATAAGTTAAATTATGCAAGTTAATATTGCTGCTATATTTACAGAGCAGAGAAATTTTAATTTAACGAGTCTCCCAGAATTAACGCATTTTAAAGATTCGCTGTTCCATAGAATAACCACTATGCAGAGTCTCATTATAATCGGTGTATTACATTCCTTAATTAACTGTTCGGCTAATCCTTATAATTAGGCCGTGAAATTAAGTACCTACTTTAATTTTAATTTGCTGTATATCCTATTTTCAGCTGTTTCGAAGAAAGGAAGGGGATACAAAAAAAAATGATAAAAAATTAAATATTAAATACATTAGAAATTATGATATTTAAAGTAAATATTTTTACCTATATTTTATACAATACTGTATATTACACTTATAGATAAATAAATATCTTCGTTCTTTTATAAATCTTATTCTATTCTTTAATTGCTTCCTTTTCGAAACTTATCGATGTTAAAGTTTTGTATTTACAAATGAATGTACAAGTATAAAATATTTATTTTAATCGAATAATCTGTTTCCGTGTAAGAAATTTTACTTATCCCAAAGGCCAATTTCTTTCATTCTCGTTTGAAAATACTTTTCTAAAGCATTAGCGCAGCGATAATATTCGGTATCGGGGTTATTATATAAACGGCAATTAGTAAAAATTCGAGTCATATCTGCTATAAATAATCTTCTCGTAACATAATACCGAGCTTTCAATCGATCAGTCATAGTTTTCAGATCTAAAAAGTATAAATTAGTCGTTTCTTTCGTTCTCTATAATCATGTTTTAAAATTGATTACACTCACCCATTGGATATTTAATGTGATCATAATAATCAGGAACGTCATTTTTATCTACAGGTGTTAAAAACGGCCATGCTGTACTGTGATTCTTCACACTATTTAAAACATTCTTTAAAGCATTGTACAGAGAATCAGTGATGTCTAAACACGCTTCCATTGGTTCTGGTCCTTGAGTCCCTTTAGCTACGCCTCTTGTTCTTGTTTGAGCATAACTTTTCCAACCAGTTTCACGAATACCAGGAATAGATTCGACTGGAATTCCCCTAACACCTTCTTTGAAACACGTTAAACCTGGATGAATTTTTTGTATTTCCTGCTGTCTTTGATGTATTAACTTTTTAATAATTTCCTTCTGTTTTCGTATAACCGCTGTAAATTCGGTATACACGATCTTTGCATTTAATTCGCAATGCATTAAAGTCGCGCCTTCATAATCTTTAATATATCCTTGATACATTGATCGAGGCAACTTAATGTCTTTACTGAAACCTTGCTTCTTAAAATATCCAATTGCAAATTCATCTGCGAACGTGAGGAAATGTAATATGTTGTTCTTTATGTGATAATCTTTAAGCATGTTCATTAAATGTGTGCCATAGCCTTTAACTTGTTCTTGACTCGTAACGGCGCAAAATACTATCTCTGTAAAACCTTGAGTAGGAAACATTCGAAAACAAATACCACCAATTGGTCGTCCATCTTTTATTAGAGCCAAAGTTTTATGCTTTCTATAAGCGAAACATTCTTGCAAGTTATGAATAATTTTAACGGATAAATGAATTTTGGACTATTATCTATTGTACTTACGGGTCGAAAACTAATTGAGATATATATTCTTTTGGCATTCTTGGTAGCTGATGGCTAAAGACATTATGTAAACCAATCAACCAAAGCATTGTCTGTTTAGAAACTGGCTGTGTTAAGCTGTTTCCAACAACATGAAATTCTATAATTTTTCTACTTTCTTCGATCTTAGCAGTTTCATCTCTTGGAACATTAGGCGGGAATACTGCATCGGGTCCACACATGTAATTAGGGTCATTAATAGTTGCCACAATTTCGGCGACAGTTTCTTCCGGCAAATCTTCAAACATCTCTTCGTTCTTTCTTCTTTTTACCTCTGTACGTCCCTCGGAATATGACCTTTTCTCATGAATCTTTTTCATACCAGGGCTGATATTAATTGTTGTATAGTTATCTTTATCGTTTGGTGGGACCATGACTTTCTCAAATTCACCTGTTTTTCTTCCTTGATTTGCTTTCGATTCCAATGCAGTTTGTAAATATGTAAGAGGTACTTGTTTAAAGTCAGGATCCCAGATCGGTGAATTATCTGCATAAATCTCTGCTTCCAACATAGAAAGAAATCTTAAATCAAACAGAAATTTTATTTATTATTCAGCAGGATAATATAAAAAACAAAAGTAATCAAATTTTGTCCATACTTAGGAAAATGTGTTAAAACTATTACTCTTTTTTCCGGTGCCAATTTATCTCTTTCGCTGTGACATTTGTCTAATAATTGTCTAGAAACTGGTTTAAAAACAGCTTGAACAAAAGTTCGTCCAAAAACCAAGGATGTATCATAATGAGGTAGCGAGTCACAAAATGCGGGTATATGACAGAATACTAGCCAACGAGTATGATTGATTTTATATGCAGGAGCTTCTTCTGGACTAATTGTGCCTCTTCTTGCACTGAGCGGATCAAAATTCCAATGATTCAAACAATGTAAGAACATCTTTGCCATATCGCACATTGCTTGCATGTCCCTCTGTGGCAAATGACCATATTTATACGCGACAAAATTCATTACTGCTTTAGCTATACTGGGTCTTTCAAAAGGTGGTTGTCCTAAAGGGCCTTCTATCGTAGGTTTACTCATCGACTGTATACATTTCCTTAAGAGTTTGTATAGATAGAAATAAACTTTTTTGGTATCTGGATCTTCTTCCTTTTGTAATCCTAAAAATATATTGTCAGCATCTATGACCATACATAATAATTTATTAATTTCTTCCTCTGACTGATTAGTTAAATGTGAAACATGATTTTCTAAAACGTGGGTACAAGTTTTACAAGGATCAAAAAAATTTATAATAGGTTGCAGCGATTCATTTTTTGGAGATTTAGTTAATAACTGAGAATTTTTCCATCCGATACACTTGCAATCTTCAACTTTGCACGCGCTATAAGTTGCAATTTTTAATATTTTCTTCATTTGTGGCAAATTAAGCATTTGTTGTTTTCTCTGTTGTATTCTTTGAAGATTATTTTGCCGACTACTCTGTTCTTGAGGTCTGGCAGTAGTCGATTCCCTGCTGTTTCCTGCATGCTGTGATGTACTAGTTACGGATTGACTGCTATCGTCTAAAGTCTGTAGCGTTGTATTACGATTTCCTTCCTCGGTTGCCATGATTTGCTAAATAAAAAGCAAAAACAATGACTTATAGACTATGCATGAATAAATACAAATTTAAACGTAACATTAATATTAGAATATAAATAATACCTTTTACAATAAAATGTAAATAAAATAACTTTATGCATGTAGCATCAAACAATTTTGATGGGAAACATCATATTGTTGTACGATATATAACTTCTCACAATTGTTTACAATACTACGAACACGTATATACATACACAAATTTACTCAATAGTCGCAAATTCTGCTAGAATAACGTAGCAATTTTTCACTTTGGAAAAAGCGCCTAAGAATGGCTCAAATAGGTTAGATAAGGTTGAAGCTTTGACTACAGATATAACAAGATTAGTCGAAGGCGAGCGAAGCGCTTAAGTACTTGACTTTGCAACTTCTTTGACCGCGTTTTTCTTTTACACCACTCAGCCAATTCTCATCAAATTTTGCACGCACATGAGTATGTACATCCAGATGAACATGGAAAACAAAATTTTAAATCGGACTTGCCACGGAGGAATAATCACCGAAAAAACTGATCCTCATTGACTATAAGGAAAATAAAAAAATGAATATTTCGGCACTTTGGCCACGTAGTATGGTTCCTAAGGCATTTAGAAACAAATTTCTATTAGGGTTTGGTGCGTTTTGATGCCTAATAAAGCCAGAAAATCAATTTTTGTCGAATTCGGTCCAAAACGGTACAGGTGGCGCCATCTAGCGGCGAGCGGCGGAACTACGAAAAACTAAAATTACGATTTTCTCCGAAATTAGGCAATTTTACGTATTTCTTACGTATTTCTGAGGGTCAGA